ATATAGAGTCAAAAATGTTGAACCTACCGTCTTAAAAGTTATGGTGCCTCAATTTTTGCCATGAGACCAAAGACATCGTCGGCATGGATGTGTTGTATTTCATGTTCAGTGTATTCTTAATTGGCAAAACTTTATATTAAGTTTTTGAATTTATTGTACATTTTTTATTAAATTTTAAATCTTTATTAAAATAAATAAATAGTTAATTATATAATTAAAAAAATAATTATTTTAAAATAAAAAAGTACAAACCTTTCACATTATTTAATGCTCTATTTATTTTCCTTTATTCAAACATATGATATTATATATTGTATGTTTATTTATTATTTAATAAAATCTAAAAATTATAAATAAAAATTGTAAAAAAATTTATTTGTGTATCATTACGCATGGAAAAAAGGACATTCTTTGCATGCTGGAAATTATTGGAACAAAAAGAGTAAACAAAACACCGGAAATTAAAGAGACATACGGGGGAAAATCCAATCTGTAAAGTTCGAAGATTGTTAAAGCAGTAAGATTTGCGCGTGCCGGGGAAATCGATTTCCTAAGAGGGTTTTTATCTTTTATCATTTGCTTTCGCTTTGCCTTTTCGTTTCTTTGTTTGGCGGAGCTAGGGAGTGGGGGTGCAGCTATAGTAAGTAATATGTTCATTTTAAAATAATTAGTATTTTAAATTTTAAATTTATTTTAAATTAATTATTATTTTTTATTTTAAAAAAATAAATAAATATTTTTAATTTAATTTTATTATTATTTATTTGTTTTAATTAATTATCTTATCATAAAAAGTGTGACTTTATTTTTTAACTTTTTTAAAAGTAATATAAGTAAATTCATAAATTATTCTCAAAATTTTAATTTAAAGAAGTAAAAAAAAAAAAAACAGTTATTATGAGACGAAAAGAATTAAAAATAACATTTTTGCTTTTTTCTTTGTCTCAAGCTCTACCTAAGATCTATACAGGCCAGACCGACCACAATTCGTCAGGCCCAATAACGATTAG